GACAGGTTTAATCACTGGCATCAGCTCCTGCCTGCTGGCACCATAATTCATCTCAGCAGAGCTCAGCCCTCCCCTGCAATAAGCTGCTGTGATACCACCAGTTATGAATCCTCCCACAACAGCGAGGCTGACCCAGAACCAGCACCCATGCTTGGTACATAGCAGGGTTTGAAGCACAGTTAAGGTGACACAGGAGTAATCACTCAGCCCCTAAATGCTGCAAACCTCAAAAACAGTCTCGAGCAGCATCTTCTCTTCCCTCATATGGCCAACACAACTGTTTTGTGATGCTGGCCACTGTGGGAGTGGGACTTCAGCATCAGGAATGGATGGACCTTGGACACATCCCTACATTGGGGTTTGTTTAGAGAAGTTGGGTCAGCTCTCTTCTGGTTCAGATGCTACTCTGCCAGAGGAAATCCCACCCTCATTCACTGGTATTCATCCCTCTCTCTAAGGCAAGCTCTTTTTTTTTTTTTTACAGATTCAGTTCCACATCAAACTATAAACTGTAAGTACAAGGCAGCCAAGAACCTGAGAGGCAAGCCAAAGCAATACCTTCTCCATAAGCAACTCAAATATAGCAGGGCTGTTGCACAAAGCAAGAAGCTGTTGCTTTAAACTGTCATATCCTTCATTTGCTGCAAAAGTAGTCTTTTATCTGTCCTCTGGATCTATTTTTACCTGCCTATTCCCAAGCATCAACATTCAGCCAGCAGAGAGAAGTCTGTTGCTGCTAAAAGTCTGTGCAACTGAAATTCCCCTTAGGTCCTGTGTATGCCAGCCTCTCTGTCCACCAAATGATTGACATTAATTACTTCAATCACAGCATGGACACCAGCTCTGGTGAAAGGGAAAGGGATTAAAGCAGGAGCAAATGGAGGTAATTTTCTGTGAGTGGATGCAGCACCTCCAGACTCAGAAGCAGCTTCTGCTGGTTCACTGAATGCTGCTAAAATGGACCCTTATGTTAGAAGTACCTGGGTATTTGAATGCATCCAGCCATCACAGTATTTCAAGCCCAAGGAATGGATATGTCATCTCATCCAAGTAGAAGTATTTATCATCCTTGCCTTTAAAGGAAGAGGTTAAGTAATCTCCAAGTCACACAAGGAGCTCGCAACACAGAAAAGCTGCATCTAGCTTCCCTCTGTCTCTGGTCACACCTGATCCACCAAATGGGTCCTTCCAAAACCAACCTACCAACTACTTACAGACAAAAAAGCCACTTTTACTTCATAATTTCCTGACTAAGGAAGAGACATTAGGTGAGTGAACCCTGAACATTCTTACCCAGCATATTTCCCTTGCACTGTTCATAGACTGGCATGAAGTCAAAGAGGCAGTCACCACCCCAGCTCTTTGTGTTCGTATCTATCACATCTGATACATTTGCACATCCAATTTGAAACACAGACAAAAATGCAACTCACCTCCCTCAAGAATAAAAGTGTAGAAAATAAGTTTGCTAAATGTTTCAGGTCGGTTTTGCAAATCAAAAGACTTGATCATAAAAAGATTAAGAGCAGTCTCTGAAAAACAGAACAGCCAGTACACATGCAACCAATGAAAACATCAGAAAAGAAAAATAAAATTTCCCTTAGCCTTCTGGATGGGTTACGTTTGGGTTTTTTTGAGAAATGAATGTTCATTGAATTGGATCTGGGAAGTGGTTTTTAATATAGGTAACCATCTACCTCCTGAAGATGAGGGTAAGCAAAGAGAAGCCAGAGTACCACAATGAGAGGTTCAAAGCTCTCCAGCCATTTTCTTGTTTCTCTTTAAAATGGAGATTTTTCTTTCTAGCTAAAGAGTTATTAAAACAAAGACAGAGCTTGTGTCAATCCATGCTCTGTACCTAAATATTTTAAAAGGCAAGCAATAACACAGAAAATATCTGGATGCATATATTCCACCATGAGTCATTATATTTTAATATTTTGAAGTCTGGCAAATCACAAAGTGCATCACTACCCACCCTGTGAGATAATTAAGTTTAAAAGTCATAACAAATGTAGAATAACACATAATGAAACAATCCAAAAGCTATGCATTCCTATTTTCCTTGGAATATTTTCTGATTACCCTCTTGCAAATTGTCAGCTACCCAGTGATAGTAAAATTGTTTGAATAATTTTAAGAGAAAAATCAAACACATTAACTTTTAATAATATTTTATGAGACTCATAATTCTTTGGGATGTAATAACCTCTTATCCTACTGCAATTAGTCACTTGGATCCATCATGTTGGTCCCCTGGTACTCAAGACAATCTAAATTTTGAGTAATACTGGAAAAGGTAATAAAGATATAAAATTAATACAGTCCTTTGTGCTTGTAATGTTATCCCTAATGTAAGCTTTAAAAAAAAATAAAAAAAAAATAGAAACTGAACAAGGGACCAAACTGTGAAGAGCCAGAGGATGACATAATTTGTAGGAGACAACACTGTGATGGGACCCTGGCACAAGGATTTAATTATTATCTTGACTAATCACTGTTCTAATGATAGTTGTCTGAAATGACACTAGACACTAAAACTCCCTACTGTCAAGGCCAGCAGCAAGAGGCAGGAAGGCAGTAAATCCCTTTTCAACTTGATGGAGTGGTGGGAAATCTCACATTAAGGTTAGCAGCCCACAGGTCACCAAGCCCACCATCCCAGGCTGTGGGAGGTATTTGGTATCTCACAGAAGACCACCTCCTTTCTCCCGTGCTCCTGTTATCACACTGTTACCAGTCACGTTTATCAGTTTAACACCTTGGCTAATATCAAACCAGATTAATGTTTGTTTACATAAATCCATTCTCCGTGGTAAAACAGCTAATGCTTGAGTGTTTCAGATGTTACCTTATTAATGGAAGCCAGGATGGTGAGAGCAGACGTCTTACAGAAAATTACCACACTCTCCAATTGCCTGTGTTAGTCCTGCCTGTCCGTAAGTGGTGATTAACACCCCGCTGGCTGCAGCTGTACTTCTCAATATAGCTTCTCTGAGTAGGAGGATGCACAGAGAGTACCTCATTACTGTGTCTTTAAAGCTGTAAAGCAAGGAATAATGCAAAATAAATCCTTTAAACTAAAGGTCATAGACCAGAATATGTTGGCATGAACACCTGCCTGGACTTTTTACCCCTGATAAAATCACAAAGATAGTGATTTATCTGCTGTTATTTCCTTCTCTTTCATTGCAGGTATGCAGAGGCCACATAACTGGATGTTAATAATTCTCAGCCAGAGTGGTATGTTTTTAGATAATGCCAGAAGAAAAGCTTAGGAGCTTAGCTAACAGCCTGCTTTTCTGGCTGAGGCAGCAAAGCTGGTATTAGCTGTTTCCCCTCCTTGCCCCAAGCTTTTTGCTCACTGCAGGCTGGGGGAGAACAGACCAGTCATCCCATTCCCTCCACACTTCCAACACTGAAAAGTTCATTCCAATTCCAGGCCCTTTTGTTTGCACATTCCATCTGGCAAGTAAAATCTGGCTGTATTGCTAAGACATAAAACCCAATAACCACACACTTACCTGATAGTAAATTATTGCCTGACAATGCAAATAAGTCTTCATGGTCACCACCTTGACAGATTGTGGTCTCCTTGTGGATAGTGGTTCTGACTAAGGAGGAGTTTGGTGTCTACTCTCAGTCTCTATCTCTTGCTGTCTCTCACACAAGCTCAGAGGTCGTGCAGTTACACAGACAAGAGCAAATGACACTGCTGCACATAAAACTCATTAACTACCTTTCCAGCTGGAGGTAAAGCCTTTGCCTTTTGCCAGACACAGCACTACCCTGCACCTCTGGACGCTGCTGGGTGCTGCAGGAGTCCAGACCCAGCACGTGGGGGGAGAATTGCCTGGCTGAGAGTGGGCACCCAGTGCTCTTCCAAAGGATCTAGCAGCTCTTCAAAAATCTAGAAGCATAGAATCATCCTGGTTGAAAGGAATCTTGAAAATCATCAAGTCCAACCATAACCCAAATCCCCCTAACATAACCTAATTTATCTGTTCAGTGCTTAAATCATGTTGTTAAGCACTATATCTACATTTATTTTAAACACTTCCGGGGATAGTGACTCCACCACCTCCCTGGACAGCCTGTTCGAGTGTCCAAACACCATTTCAGCGAAGAATTTATTTCCAATATCCAGTCTAAACCTCCCCTGGTGCAGCTTCAGGCCATTTCCTCTCGTCCTGTCATTATTCACCTGGGAGAAGAGGCCAACTCCTGCATCCCTGCAGCCTCCTTTCATGTAACTGTACAGAGCAATGAGGTCTCCCCTCAGCCTCCTCTTCTTCAAACTAAACAATCCCAGTTCCCTCAGCCTCTCCTCATAGGACTTGTTCTCCAGACCTTTCACCAGCTTGGTAGCTCTCCTCTGGTCATGCTCCACCAACTCAACATCCTTCTGGTAGTGAGGGGCCCAGAGATGGACACAGTCCTCGAGGTGTGGTCTCACCAGTGCTGAGTACAGGGGCAGGATCACCTTTCTGCTCCTGCTGGCCACACTATTCCTGATGCAGGCCAGGATGCTGTGGGCCTTCTTGGCCACCTGGGCACACTGCTGGCTCATGTTAAGTCAGCTGTCAACCAGCACCCCCAGGTCCTTCTCTACCATGAAGGTTTCCAACCACTCATCCCCAAGCCTGTAGTTTTGGATGGGGTTGTTATGACCAAAGTGCAAGACCTGGCACTTGGTCTTGTTAAACCTCATACAATTTGCCTTGGGCCATCAATCCCATCCGTCCAGGTTTCTCTGCAGAGCCTTCCTACCCTCAAGCAAATTGACACTTCCTCCCAGCTTAGTGTCATCTGCAAACTTACTTAGGAAGCACTCAATCCCCTCATTTAGGTAACTAATAAAGATAGTGAACAAGACTGGACCCAAAACTGAGCCCTGGGGGACACCACTGGTGACCAGCCACCAACTGGATCCAACTCCATTCACTGCAACTCTCTGGGCTTGGCCAGCCAGCCAGTTTTTTACCCAGTAGAGAGTGCACCTGTCTATGCCATGAGCCACCAGCTTCTCTAGGAGGATGCTGTGAGAGACAGTGACAAAGGCCTTTCCAAAGCCCAGACAGACGACATCCAAAGCTCTTCCCTCATCCACCAGGCGGGTCACCCGATCATAGAAGGAGATCAGGTTAGTCAAGCAGGATCTGCCTTTCCTGAATCCATGCTTGCTGGGCCTGATCCCACGGCTGTCCTGCATTTGCCATGTGAGTGCACTCAAGATGAGTCTCTCCATGTTTTTCCCTGGTACTGAGGTCAGGCGGACAGGCCTGTAGTTCACAGGATCCTTCTTTGGGTCCTTCTTGTAGGTGGGCGTCACACTGGCAAGTCTCCAGTCATCTGGGACCTCCCCTGTTATCCAGGACTGTTGGTAGAAGATAGAGAGAAACTTGGTGATCTCCTTTGCCAGCTCTCTCAGTACCCTCAGGTGAATCCCACCTGGTCCCATAGAATTTTGAGTGTCTAGGTGCTGAAGCAGGTCTCTGACTGCATCCTCATAGATTGTTGGAAGGATTGTTCTGCTCTCCATCCTTACATGTTCATCCTCTTCATCCTTAATCTGGTTGCAAATATGAGCAGTGAACGTACCTAAAAATACACCCATGAATGATCAAGGTGCAGTCTGGTTGCCCTACTGCGTGCTGTGGGGACACTGGGGACATGGGTCTAGGACAACCAGCTGCTGCCAACTGGCCACCACCACCTCATTGTTGCAAACTGGCCAAAACAAACTGCATGACTCATACACTCCCCATTATATATGCAGTTTCCTTGTAAAAGTCGGAGCACTGTGAGCAGAGCCATCTGCTCCCCAGGGTTCTGTTCATGGAGTTGAAGGTGGTTCTGTTTGTGGTACTGGATGAATGCCATGTACTGTCCAGCGAGCAGTTGTCCTGGTGGCAAGTTGGCAGTGTAGAAGTGTCTGGTGGCCAGTTGGTAGTGGTGAGTTGGTGGTATCCAGTTGTCAGTGGTCAGTTGTCCTGTTCCCACTTCCACCTCTTCATCTGCCACAGGGGTGAAAGTCAGTCTCAGGCAGACACTGACAAAGAAAAATAATAAAAATAAGAAAGAAAACCTGTCTCTTGCTGGTGAAAAAAAGTACAGGCTGATTCAGGAGTACTTGGACACAAAAGATTTCTATGCGACCGAGTCACTGCAAAGCACAGCAAAGTGATCACATCTCCCACTGCCACAGGAACTGAGCACAGTACCCCCCAGATCATTAACACCCTGAAAGACAGTCATGCAGACAGCTGTCACCAGAAGACACCACCTCTCACTGCACAGAATTATCCTTGCAGACACAGGGTTCACCCACGTCCAGTCTGGTCAAACAGCCTGCTGAGAACTCTGCCAGGAGGAGAATTGGGAAAACATCCACCTCGTGTTTCAGTGACTGGAAGAAAAAGTACAATGCAGTCTGAGCAACAGCCCTGAGAGTTCTCCAGATCTGGAAGATGATGTCTTAAGTCTACTGCAGTATTTAGGAGTTCAGGGCAGATTTCCCACAGTTCCATACCTGTCTTGCTGCTCAACCAAAAAGATGCCAGTGATACTAGTTCTGACGGGCTCTGTGATCAACCAGCATCTAGCTTCTTAACTAAAACACAGTGTTATCATAACTTCAGACATGACCATGTTTCTATAAAATTCACAAACCACTGCTGAACGTATAACCTGCATCTGCTGTTTGTTTCTGAAGCAACTCGTTCAGAAAGCAGGCACAGGGGCTCCTGCTGGGACTAGGGATTATTCTTTGTCAGCTCTTGGGATAAAGATTTTCACCAAGATGAAAGATCTCTTTTCCACAGTGAAGGAAAATAAATCTTTCTGGACCTCTGGAAGACTGGCTTCTGCCCTCTCTCAAAGTGCAAGTATTGCTTCATTGAAGAACAGCCAGGAAAAGCCAAATTCAAGTAAGACTGAGGTATAAGCTGAAAGAAAACAGTCAGCACTCTCAAGAATTCAAAATGGTGGAGGTTTGAAGCTGCATGGGGGATACTACTCAGTAGGTTTGCTGGTAGATCTTGGGACCCTCAAGAAGCCACAGAAGCTAAGGGCATCAGGCATCACTGAAGACTGGCAGACAACTCTCTACTGCCTACCCAGCATGTCCTGCCTCTAGGGCAGGTCATTGCATGTCTTCTGTAAGTAGGGAGCTCTGCTTTCCCCATGCCTGAAACTGGACAGCCTGGAGAAGGTACAACATGAAAAAGTTCAGGAATATGATGGAACCACCACTTAGGCATGTATTCTTGCCTGACAAGTCATTAGGTGTGTAGTGCCGTTCAGTTTTCTGAACTGACATTTCATACCTGCATTTCCCTCTAATGCACACAGAATTATGCCTGGATACCTGACAAGTCACCTTGCACTCTGCAATCTCAATTGCCCATTAGGATAATTAAACTGTCACCTAACATGGTGAAGCTTATGAGTGAAGGGGGCAAAACTGATCTAAGACCCAAACATGGACTGCTGAACATTTTATTTATCTACTTATTTATTTTGTCAGATATAAGACTAGTCATAAAATACATGCCAACCTTAGCACAGCTTTTTCTTAACATGTCATTTACAGACAGTAGCACAGAAAAAAATGTAATTATAAGAACTCATTAGATCTACAGAATTTGAAGAGTATTTTTGCTGTTAAATACTTGGGAGACACTCAGATAGTTTGGCTATATCAGAAGATTGACAATAAAATATGTCAAACCTGTCCACCTGGAGAGATGCTGTACAACTAAGATTATTACACATGTCCCCAGAAAAACTGTAGGTACCAGAGTCTGCACGTTTGCAGCTTGAATTATTCAGGCATTTCTGGTAAAAAAACGCCACACCTTCTAGAACAAACAACTGAGAGAAGTTCAGAAGAGAGAGCCCTGACTGCAACAGTCCTTATTTATGCCCACAAGTATTAGGGGGGAACACCCTCTGTTTTCCAGTATTATTTTAAATCTGGAGGTACCAAGTGTGCATCTGGGCTGTTCCCAGGCAACTGAGTTTACCTTCACCAAAAGCCTCTGTGCCCTGGAATGCAGAAATCAGAAAGAAAATCTAAAAGACATATCCTTTTGCATGCATTTGGCTGGAATGGCGCATAGAGAAAACCCTCAGGCAGCAGCAAACTCCTTCCTCCCAAGAAAGCTGGAAGCAAGACAGCACAGCCAGCTGGGAAGTCACTCTGCACTACCAGCAGTGGCCAAGGCCCTTAGAGAGTCCTGAAGAAACTTGTCACCACCCAAGACAACTGGAGGAACATCAGAGAATCAGTCACTGATAAAGACAAACTCCTTCAAAGCATCCTGGGCTGTATCACCACCTTATGGACCTGTCTTGCCATTGACATGTCAGGAACAGGCTCACCCCTAAGCCAGGGTCTGTGCTGGGGAGGGATGCCAGTCCTTCCTGTGCCTAGATGAAGTTGTGATGGCTAAGTGCAGTGAAGACAGCCATGCTCCTCCACCCCACACACCCTTGTTAAGGCAGTGTCAGACCAGGCTAAATGCATTCTTTCATGAAAAAGTATGTCTCAAAGTTACTTTAATGCAAAATATGTACAAACACAAGCCCCTGTGTAATCTGTGGTGGCTTGTTGATGTAATTGAATGAAGAAATTGAAATTGCGAAAAAAAATCTGACATTTTTCTTTAAAAAAGGTGCCTCCAGAATACATGCATAGTTAATATTCTCCACATGCACAATACTTAACTAAAAGATTTTCAGAAACAGTCTCATTCTATGTCAGGGCAAGAAACGATACAAAACATATTGGTTATCGAACTGCTGGCATGAATTTTTACTGCCTATAAAGAAACATTAAATTGCAGCGTGCAAGTTACCCAGCTGCCTTAACAAGAAGAAGTGTGCATGATCACATTACTTTAATTCTGCAATATGGATTCTTCATGAAACCATTTTGCACAATGTTTATTTATTTGTGCCATATGAAACACAAAACTTACCCTGATAAAAGGAAAGCACTGTTGAGAAATAAATATGGTTTACTGAGTTTAAAATACCCTTTAATCCAATTTTATTTAAACATATTAAATTTTAAAACAGATGCCTGCGACCTGATTGACAAATTTTGCATAGTATGAAGCACTGGATGCTGTGCTTGCTCAGGATTGCCTTCAGGAAAAGACCTGCTACCTTCTCACCACGAGAGGAGCAGTCAGCATGACAGAGGGGATCAGCCTCATTCATTGCAGGCGATCAATGCAGCTGTAATCCTAATGTTTGCTTTGCAGCATGTCCTGCCCATGTGAGAACAAATATAAGCAGAAGGCATGACTTCCAAGCCATTAATTACACAGAAGAGTCAAGCCGCTTTCCTACTACTTTCTAAGTAAATTTCAGCAGCTTTACTTAGCCACCATAGCAGACTAACCAGTCCTACCAGAGACGTAAGAAAACAGAGAGAAGCTGTGTGCCAGTGAAGTTCAGCAG